CGCTTTGCCCCGTAGGCTCCCAAGGGGTCTCTCCACCCCAAACTTTCCCTCATATTCCACCGCCTCGTGCCGTTTTCTGTCGGCCTTGTCTATTCATTTCTCACATATATTTTCAGTTAAAAGTTTTTTTCAGTTATACTTTTTTTGAATTCCGTCGCTTTCCCAGCGATGTTCTTCAGAAAAAATAACATTGCTGTAAAATTAGAAAGTTAAACTTTATTGCACTTTGCCAGGGCTTGCTTTAGCAATGTGAGGAACGGAAAAATCGAATTTAGCCTCTTAAAATAGGTGGTGCTTTTGCTTCATTTACAGTATATCTCATCTTTATTCCATGGTGCTGAAGGAATGTGCATGGTCTCTCTCCTCATTTTTTTTATTACAGCAATCTTGTAAAATAGAGACTATGCAAGTGGCCCAAGCTCACTTGGAAAGCATTGGAGAAAGAACAAGGAAAAGGTTACCTGGTCCACAAGATTACACAAATGTGAATGATGCCTTTTATTGAACCATTTTTTGTGGACCAGTAAAGGGTTATCATCCACTCTTACAGTTGGTAAGCTGTGTAGCTAAATAGGGATTTGAACCTGAGTCTCAAAACTCCCAAACTAACATTCTCACTATGACATCATATTGATGTCTGCTCTTCCCACCAATCAGTGCAGATGTGGCAATGGAGTGGCAGTTTATCAGTGTTCAAGGAAACTGCCATATTAGAGCCTGTCTACACTGGAATATATTCATGTTGATAGTAGTGTTGATAGCAGTGTTTGGATCAGAAAAAAAAGACTATGTCTGCTTGTGTTTCTACTTAGAACAATCCATTGTTTCCCTTTAAGAGCTGTCACACACTTTTCTTATATAGGACTAAGGCATGCATTCACGTTGGCATGATTCAGTGGGATTCAAAATTCAACTTTTGCTGGATTCCTGGAGCAGGGGTGGCAGCAGTGATCAGCTGGGGAGCAGATATGAGTGGCTGACAAGCGGCAAATCTTGGCTGTGAAATTGTGAGTCACTCTGAGCCTCCCTAGCGCCACGGCCAGCTTCCCGCCTCTTTTGATCAACTGTGGAGTAGAGAGCGGCTGCATGATCAGCTGGGAAGCAAAGAGGAGCAGCAAAGAGGCAGCAAGCCTCTCTGACACCAAGGCCAGCTTCCAGTCCTTGTTGATTGGCTGGGAAGCAGAGAATGACTTCATGATAATCTGGAATGCACTTAATTTGACAGCTGATCAGGCTACAGGGAGCCATGTGCTGTTCAGACAGGAGGAGCATGTGAAATAGCACATGGCTCCTCCCTCAACCTCAACAGATCCCTTGTAGCCTGATCCAGCCCACACCCAAAAGGGCCAAGCTGTACAGGCCCTCAGTCTACTATTGATAACCACCTGGAGAACGTATAAAGTGGCACATTAAAAAGTGTGTGCATTGTGGCATCAGTTTTAAAGGACATCACTGCAAGGCACAAGGGAATGGGTAGTCTCATTCTTGCCCCCCACACAAAAGGTTCGTACTTTTCCTCTCTCTCGGACTGCTTCATGGCATCTCTTCAGACATATGGAATTTGTTTGCCGCGTTGGGTGCAGTGGAAGAATGCTCTCCACTGAAACTTGGTGCAAGAGGCATAGAGCCAGAGGCTGGAAAGAGGGCAATAAAGGCCAAACCCTTTGTTGGGAGTCAGGTTTCTATAGGATTGAGGGAACATTCACAACAAGAGCAGATGTGTGCACTTGGTGAATACATTGTGTAGAATGTAGTCTGGTGCTGATCACAAGATTTCCATCTTGCCAAATATTGCTTATTTCTTATGCTTTCTGTTCCTTACTTCAGTGGTTGTGGACTGCCATTTCCAGATTTTTGGGGAGCTGTCATCCAAAAGTAAACATTATGCCTGAGTGTTATTCCTCCTAATGTCTAACTACTACTCTGCAGTGGTGTTTTCCACTCTGACTGGCAGTTCTGCCTCCAAGGTTTTAGGTACCAGTCTTTCCTCTCACCTACATTCTTTTAATAGGACATGCCAAAAACTAAATGTGAGGTATTTTGCATGTAGAGCTTGTAATCTGCCAAAGTGATTGTTCCTGCATTGAAGTTTAAATTGTAAGATTGGTTCATTTGAAAGCTTATGTTGTAGTTAATTACTTACAACGTGGAAGAATCAGAAGGAAAAGGTCTAGCTAAGCAGTAATCAGATAGGGACTGAATACATGGTGGAAATGATTCCACTTCCCCATTCTTAGTGCTTCTTGTCTTCCATCAAATCTCCACTTTGTATTTTTATTGATGTTGTTCTTCATAGGTTCATATCATATCGAACCAGTGCTCATGCTGAACGCTGTGGGCCTCATCTGATTTTGGAAACTAAGCAGGGTCAAACCCAGCTAGTATTTGGATGGGAGAAAACAAGTGGGGAGCAGCAGAGTTCTCCGGGAAGGGCTAGGAGGAAACTCTGCCTGAAGAGGTGACAAAGTTAAGCAAGGTGGGCTGTTGCTCCGACTCAGTAGGCCGGTGTCACTAATGTCTTGGTCTAAACAGGCTATTTAAAAAAAAACTGGTTTAATCAAACAGCCACTGGATTAATATGATTTGATTCTCCTCTGACTAAGAGGGTGACTACATGGTCAAATACTGTAAAATTTGCTCCTATAAAAATGAGAGAATTCAAAGTATTTTTACTGTCTGCATGACGTACATGACTGATTTGAATTAGTCCAGCCTTTTTGCTGCCAAAAAGGCTTTTTTTTTTGTCTCTAGAGTGCTTCCATTTTTTCATAATTCGATCGGTCTTCCTCCCCTACAGATGTTTGTTAAAGACAGGGGTATATTTGTAGCACCAGCATTCATCTCTCTCCACAAAACCTCTCCTCCCTCAAGCCACTTATGCTCGAGGGAGGAGAAACAGCTACATTGGTGTGTGTGTGTGTGTGTGTGTGTGTGTGTGTGTGTGTGTGTGTGTGTGTGTGTGTGTGTGTGTGTGTGTGTGTGTGTGTGTGTGTGTGTGT